GAGGGAGCTGAAGAGGAAGCAGGGAGTGCTCCCTCGCGCGCCCGCCTTCCTGCCCGACCGGCCACCCGCCCAGGAGCCCAGCAGCACCACTGGACCCCAGGGAATCCCCCCAGCACTCCAAAAGGTAAGGAGGCTGGGGGGATTACATTTTTTTTAAAAAAATGTGTGTTTGTGTGTAGTGTATGTGTGTGTTAGTGTATGTGTGTGTTTGTGTATGTGTGTGTTAGTGTGTGTGTGTTTGTGTGTTAGTGTATGTGTTTGTGTTTGTGTGTGTGTGTGTATGTGTGTGTTTGTTTGTGTGTGTGTGTTAGTGTTTGTGTGTTAGTGTATGTGTGTGTTAGTGTATGTATGTGTGTGTTTGTGTGTGTTAGTGTATGTGTTTGTGTGTTAGTGTATGTGTGTGTGTGTTTGTGTGTGTTAGTGTATGTGTTTGTGTGTTAGTGTATGTGTGTGTTAGTGTATGTATGTTAGTGTGTGTGTTTGTGTGTTAGTGTATGTGTGTTAGTGTGTGTTTTGTGTATGTGTGTTAGTGTGTGTGTATGTGTGTTAGTGTATGTGTGTATGTGTGTGTTAGTGTATGTGTGTTAGTGTGTAAGTAGTGTATGTGTGTTAGTGTGTGTGTTTGTGTGTTAGTGTATGTGTGTGTTAGTGTATCTGTGTGTTAGTGTATGTGTGTGTTAGTGTATGTGTGTGTGTGTCAGCATGTCTGTGTGTGTGTCAGTATGTCTGTGTGTGTGTGTCAGTATGTCTGTCTGTCTGTGTGTCAGTATATATGTGTGTGTATATCTGTGTGTGTCAGTATGTGTATGTGTCAGTATATCTGTCAGTGCGTCAGTATGTCTGTTAGTGCATGTGTATGCATGTGTCAGTATATCTGTCTGTGTGCCAGAATGTCTGTGTGTGTGTGTGTGTCAGTATATCAGTCTGTGTGTGTCAGTGTATGTGCCTGTGTGTGTGTGTCAGTATTTCTCAGTGTATGTGGGTGTCAGTATATCTGTCAGTGTGTGGGTGTCAGTATTTCTGTCAGTGTATATGTGTCAGTATGTTGATCAGTGTATGTGTCTGTGTGTGTGTGTCAGTATGTCGGTATATGTGTCTGTGTGTCAGTATGTCTGTATATGTGCCTGTGTCAGTATGTCTGTCAGTACGTCTACCAGTGTATGTGTCTGTGTGTGTGTCAATATATGTACCTGTGTCAGTGTGTCTGTCAGTGTATGTGCCTGTTTATCAGTATGTAGTCAGTGTATGTATCTGTGTATCTGCTTGTGCGTCAGAGTGTGTACCTGTGCATCTGAGCCGCAACTTTAAATACAAATACACCCCTCCATTCAAACTTCAACACTACATATAAAACACACTCCTGCATTGAAACGTCAACACTACATACAAGCACACTCCTACATTCAAAAACAAACACTACACATAAATGCACACTTGCATTCAAACTCCAGTACCACATACAAACACATTCACACAAACATACTCCATACAAACACATGCTTACATTCAAACATACCAACATGGCTCAGTGCTAAATACAACCCTGCAAGCATGGGAAATTGGTAGAGTCCCAGCTGTCAAAGCATTGTTGGAGTTGCACGACAGATGGGGTTCTACCTTTAGTCCAACCTTGCAATTGGGGGTCCCAATAAAATTCATTCTACTTTAGTACCACCACTGC